TGGAACATAGACAAAAATTATTGGGAATCAAATTCCTATCCAAGGTCATCAATATCAATAACCACCCCATTGTAGCAATCATTAAAGCAATAAAGTTACAATACATGCATCATGCCAATTATTGGAGGAGAAAAGACATCCCATTCCTTGTACAGTCCTTAGACTATCTATATCAATACAAAGACAAAACAGACACACTAGATAGATTACCATGCTATATAATTAAATTCGAAACACAAATTAGTGAACTACCCACAATAGATTTAGGGCTAAGGAAAAATGATCCATATGCAAGAATCTCATTCATCGCACACAGAAACACAGAAAAATACGAAAAGGATTACACTTTTATTTACACGGATGGATCAAGACAAAACAAAAAAACAGGATATGGAATACACTGTCCCAGTCAAAACCACAACTTCAGCTGCAGACTCCCGAATGAAATTGACATATGCACAGCAGAGATAATGGCAATTAAAGAAGCAGCATTATACATAATCAGAAAAAATATAAAAAATGCAATAATCCTCTCAGACTCAAAGAGTGCAATAGACAGACTCAACCAAACATACATCAACCCGGAAATCGACTACTTCACCCTAAGAACCAAAGCATTAATAAAAGCAGCAAACGAAAATGAAAAGGACATCAGAATTGCATGGATTCCTGGACACGCAAATATACCTGGGAATGAAACAGCAGACAAACTTGCCAACATAGGAAGAGGACTATACGTCCCAAGAAGAATACCCCTAAACAATGGACAAATATACAATATAATAAAAGAAAAAATATGGATAGAACACAACGAAGCCTGGAAAGCATCCCTCAAACAAAAAGGCAGATGGTATGCCCAAATACAAGAAAAGTTTCCTACAATGCCATGGTACAAAAAATTCCCACACGTGCACAGAAATCACACAACAACAATAACAAGAATGAGAACTGGACACTGCCTAACCAAAGAATACCTCCACAAAATAGGCATCAAAGAATCACCAAACTGTGAGTGCGGCCAGGTTGAGGACCTAAACCACATATTCCTGGAATGCCCAATAAATGCTATAGCAAATAACGACCTCTACTGCATCTTAAGTAGGGAAGAGGATCATGCAACACCTCTATCAATGACCACTGTACTAGGAAAACTGAATAACAATACAATTAATATATTGAATAATTTTCTGAAACACAATAAGATAGAGCTTTAGCCTTACAACCCCAAACTATCAAACTATCAGAATCCATAACACAAAAAAAAAAAAAAAAAAAAAAAAAAAAAATATTATCCTTCACATATTCCAAAGCATAAACAATCCTCTGTTGTGTATGTCCCAAACTAACAGTCCATCACCTGAAGATAATTATTGAAAATCAACGAAAAAAGAAAAGAACAGAAGAGAAAAGACAAGAAATACACACAGATAGTGAAGAAGATGAAAGTGCAACGACGATGGTCAAGAGCCAGATAAGGTTGCTGCACAAGAACAAATGAGCTGGCAAATTGCCCTTGAAAGGAGCAGAAGCCAATAACCATACAAAAAAAAAAAAAAAGACGTCACAATGTTATCGGCGCTTGTCAATAATAGGAAATTCTCCTTACGCTTATAATCCTTGGTTTGTGTCAATATCGGCGCTTGTCAATGATAGGTAATCCACTTCTAATGTTATATCTCTCTTTTCTCTCGAGTAACGAAATTCGTCTATGCAAATGAAATAATCGTGTTTCACATTATTAGGTAGATAAAACGCATAGAATAAGGTTTATAGTGGGTATAGAATGGACAGTCCCATTATACGGATCGGACAACCATTTGTGGCGCCATCTGTTCTCTATGAAATGAGCTCATCCCATTGTAGCAGCTTGTAGAGCAGTTTGCTTCTTATTTTTTTTTAGATTTGCTTTTTATTTATTTTATAATAAAGACACAATTTGATACAAATTTAACAAATAACGGTTTATTACAAAGAAAGAAGAAAATTATGTTGGCTTTTCGAAACTTGTCAACAAAGTCAACACTTAACAACATAGAATTGAATAACAATAATAGTCTTTACACTAAAAATAACACTGTGAAAGTTCACAAATACACACAGATATGCTCTATCACTACGAAACACTTTTTCAACGAAGAGAAATATTAAAGCAACAATAAGAAGCACAACGTTTTCTAGCGGAGATAACTTGGAGATACAATCAACAACGCGTACGCAAATCAACTGATAGCGCCTCTACAGGGCATGAAACAAGTTTATCATCGAACCAAGTGGAAAATTTGAAGATCGCGGGGTATGATAAAACGGTTTCTACTGGCGTTTGAAAGTGACTATGCCAATGTCATTGGACTATGCTTCCTGAACTCAGCGACACATTTTAATAAGAGAAGCTTTAAGGCCCAGTTGTACAACCTCGGTTCAAAACAGAGTTCAACCAAAGAATGTTCAACTGAACTCGACCAGGGTTGCCAGATGAAATTAAAAAAAAATCGTGAGAATCGAGAAAAAAAAATCGTGAGAATTCGTGAGACTAAAATTGTCTAATGTTATAGGAAAATTGAGCACAACAATGTTCTTGAAGGGGATGTGTGTTCCAGAAATGAAAGGTTTAGTGCAAAAAAATCTGAGAATAAATATTTAAACCGCATCTTGCTACCATGGTCCGTTTTCGAGTTAGGGCGGTTTAAAGTTACAACTAGGTGTTTGTGACGTCACACTGGATTATCAGGGACAGTATTAATACGTGTAAGAATTTTCCAGAACAAAAAACAATTATCTCCTAGAGCGAATTGCAACCACTCAAAATATAGGGTACGGTTCACTGACGACTGAACGAACAGAAAACTGCGATTTCAGCGGTTGTGACATCACAAGTTCCTGCATAATTTATCTTCACAATGAATTTTCTCGGAAACTATTTTGAATATAGGACTGCAGTTTTCACGAGAGATCGTAGAATTTTTTTCTTGTTTCAAGTAGCTTGAGTCGTTTTTTAGGGTCACACCCTCTTTAATGGTGTAGTCAACGAACTAAAATAAAAAGTGGAGGGGATTAACCTAGTGAATGTTCTATTTATGAATTTATAAATCACTTTTCTATGGTGCAATCTATTCATGTTCCAGCTATCACGTGTCACTTGGTGTTTGTTTTATTTTTTGCTAAAAATCGAAAAAATGACGGTTATGAGGGAAAAGTGTGGAAAATTCTCCTCCTGCAGATCTTCTTTCTAAGCAGCATATACCCAAAATCTGCGTGGGATAGCGGTCGTGTCATACCTCATTTTAAAGGTCTCATCCAGTTCATCATTGCCCTAGAATTTCGTCTTATTATTATCATCTGTAACGCAACGACAGCTTGTCAAAATCTTGGAAATAGAATATTGTTTTAGTGGGAGTAAAATTGAAGTTTTTTATTATTAATAATAATTAAGTGTAGGTACACGTGAATTGTAAATTCTAAATTCTAAGTATTTTTATTAAAGGAAATAAGTACCGCTTTACTCCTACTAGAACAATCTGTGACAATAGTCTATTTCCAAGATTTTGACAAGCTGTCATATTTCATTACGGATGAAAATATGGAAAAAACTAAAAAATAGTTCACCTTCAAATCAAAAATCGATGTGTCCGAGCGTTTTTCCAGATTTTCATTCCAAATCGAATAAATCGGGGTGGATTATTTTTCCTGGGACACCCTGTATATACAACACCATTGCTCGTGAACATTTACGCGTGCAACAACCCCAATTATTGTCGTTCTCACTACGATAAAATTTGCCTCACAAATGGACATTACGAAAGCAGCTGTTAGGTCCGTTCCAGTTATGTGTAGTATATACCTAGTTCATCGCACAGGACCTTCCAATCCGCCATATTCTTTGGATCAAGAATAGCGGATGTCGAGTGTAACGAGCGGGAGCCGGAAATAGGAAAGAAGCGGGATTCATTGCACGATCGGACCATCATCGGATGCAGGATCGGAGTCGGATGGGAGCGAGAATTGGCATGTGCCGGAAAGGTGTGAACTACGTTGTTTGAAATGTATTACAACCTCTCTCTCAGACACTCGTCCGATTGTATGATCAGAGTCGGATCGGAACGATACATGATAGGTGTGTGCCGGCCTTAACACCTATTGTTAATTTTTTCTAAGAAACTTTTGGTTTGAAAAATATTCGAATCAGAAGAAAAAAGACATAGTACAAGCATAGCTGTACATACAAGCGTATAAAGTTTACAAATCCGCCATACCACGTGCCACCTCATACGCTCATACTATAGTATAACATTGTATCGTTTCTAGACTGTAAAGTGCGTTTTTTTTTTTTTTAATAAAAGTCAAACTGACATTAGTTTGGCAATACAATGTAAAATTGTCAATGCGATGTAGAAAAGGCTTGTAGAAAAGACTTGTGTTGCCAACATAGTTACTAAATTTTTAACTTGGGGAATTATCTTAAAAAAAAAACAGATTTTAGTAATACTTTAATGGCCGTTTCCACCAACCATTCCATTTTAGGGAAACCCTACGATAAGTATTCCTTAAAATGACATTTTTTCATGGGAAAATGTCAGTTCAAGGAACACTTATCGTTAGGGCTTCCCTAATAAATGATTGGTGGAAACGGGCATAAGACGAATCATTATTCATTAGATACTTCGCTGGTTACAGAGCACTCAGAGCAATCTATTTGTTATTTCGTCAGTGCAACACAGCATTTATACCCAAATCAGAAAATAAGTGGTTCGATTGTTATTTGGGCTCATCTTTATGACGGTAATATGTAGGTTAAGTAGGTACTAGTACAAACTACCACAACGCGTAAATGTCTTCAAAACCGCTAGAGCTGCGTTTGTGAATGCACCTTTAGCGGTTTTGAAGAAATGTAACCGTTGCAGTACTTTTTTCTGATCCTGTATGTACCTATACAATATGTATGTATATGGTTGAAATTTCACTATAGTTTTAGTCTTGTTTTCTGAGTTGGTAAGTATATGCTCGCTTTTGTTATTGCACTGAAAAGAACTGACGAGTTCAAAATGTTTCATCTGTAACTAGCAAAGTAATGCAATGGGAACTCGATTTTTCTCTTCCTGATTAGATTTCGTCATACGTTAAGAATTTACACATTTGCTATTAGATAAAACTTTTTACAGACATGTGAAGAACGAGAAGGAGTCCTCAACATTCAACAAAATCAAATTGTTAACTTGACAGCTAGAGTTCCGGGAGCTAGAGAATTTGCTGGGTGCCAATTTAGACCTATTATTCCTACAACGACACCAGCACCTTTGTATACCATTAATATACCTACACCGAGAAAGAGAACTACTGATGGCAACAGAGGTAAGAAAATTGAAATATCATGATCAGAATCAAACAAAAAACCTGCTCAAATTTGTTTAAAAAAAATTACTGTTAACTATTCATGGAACAGTGCATACTGGCCCAAATCAGTGGCTGGCCCAGATGCATTGCAGGCTGCTTAGTTCACAGAACATACAAAGTAAAGTTTAGGAGTTCTAAGGTCGAACTTGTGAAATTTGACATTTTATTTAAGCTTAAAAATAACCTCACATTACAGTTTAGTCTAAAACTAAGCGGTGCATGCGCACTGATTTGTGGATGTTCAAATATTGTGACCTTTGCGACCTTGATTGCGTCCCTACTAATTACTTATAACAGTTTTTTTTTTTGCTCAGTGCAGTCACAGGTAAAAATTATGAATACGAAAAATTATCAGATGCATGGGTACTTCACCTGCGACCTTCAGCGTCATTTAGGCATTTCTTTTTCTCTATTGAACAAATGAAGGTACCCTCGGCTCTGTACTTCCTGTCATTTTTAATTTTCATTCATTAAAAAAATCATCACTATAGTAGAGGATGTACAGGTCAGTTAAAGAATAGTATAATAAGAATTTTCCAACCTGTAACATATTGGAGAACGTTTCTTGGGGAAGGCAAACTTCTGGTCCACACCGTAAGCCAAAAGGGAAGGAAGCAAATACTTCGTAAACTCGTTGATCTAAGTAAACTTACTGAAACGATCGAGAAATACCTACTGAATAGCATGTTGACTAGACAAAGACAACAAATATTGCGAAGGAGTTGTATTTGTTCACATCTCGATGGTTCACATATACAGGGAAAGGTGCGGGCGATTGCATTCTTTCGGTCCTTTAACTTTCATGTGGTGGGCTTCAGAGAAATAAAATCATATTTTCGAAGAGGGTACTTTAGGACTATTTATTTAGTATTTATGTTAAATATCAACCATTTATGTACCAATAATTAGATCCCTCTATTCAATTAATTTAAAAAAAATACCTATAATGAGAATATTTTTTCTAGGTACAGTTACAATAAAAATGACATCAACTACAGCAAAAATCACAGCCACCACAACCACTACAACATCTACACCTATAGAAGAAACCACTGCAGCTACCTATAAAACCACTCTAGAAGATTTGAGTAGCTTTCCCACATCAACAATATTTCCAACTGAAGAAACTCAATTTTATTTCTCAACTATTTTAGATGATATACAAGAATCCACAACAGTAGATTCAACATTTACCACTGTGGAATCCACGTTATCAACTGTAAAACCTACCCTAATAGGTATCTGAAATCTTATGCACTAATTGTATATTTTTTTTATAGGAACCTCAAACAATAAACTATAAGAAAGCACCAATTAAAAAACGTTCTGTACCAATTAAAACCCAAATTTCTAAACCTTTTAGACAAGGGAGATTTATTAATTGTCATAATTCTAGAAGATTTAGAAGCTCTAGAGAGAGATGGTGGTTTATAGCTGTCAGTAATTGTAATGAAACTAAGGTAAAAAAAAAGAAAGAAATCAAATAATTATAATAATAAATATATTTCTAAAGGGAATTGACATAAATTATCAACTTTTAATGACCAATGGACCTCCTGGCGATTATTGGCACGAACATTTTTCAGCTGATGAATTTTGTGAGAAGGTAGTTGAACACCTATACTGTGAATGATCAGTGTTTATTTTTTCAGACATATTACCAATTCTGTTAGCATTTTCAGTAGCTTATTCATTTCTAATGCTAGGAATTACTGTTTGCTCCTTAGAATTGAAACAAAGGCAGTTATTACACACGACTTACAAAATTTTCGTGTTATCATGCGTTCTTCAATTATTTGGCATATTGGTGATAAGCATTGTTTATCTTAAGATGGCTGTTAGTGGCAGGGAATCTCCCAAATTCAAAAGAGTTGGTAAGAATTGCTTTTTTTGCCATGTTCATATCATATCAAAAAAACAAAATGCTTTTTCAGGAAGCATGCTTTTAGGATCTTCAGAAACCCTTTTCCTTCTTCTCCTGCTCCTTCTAGCAAAAGGATTTACTATAACAAGAGGTCGTTTGCCATTAAAAGCCACCGTGAAGCTAACAATATTCATGTGCCTTTATGTAACAACCTATTTGACGATATTCGTATATGAAGCATTGGTTTTTGATCCTGGAGAAGTGCTCTATCTCTATGAATCTCCTGCAGGATATAGCCTAATCATGTTGAGACTCTGCGCTTGGATTATGTTCATTTATTCTACTGTATTTACCTTGAAGAAGTATCCAGAGAAGGTAAATTATTTTCTGTATTTGGTTGAATCATAATAGGAGTCGCCAAGCTAACAAACTGTGTACAGGTTGAAGGGCTAGATGGATACTAGAGATTCATATTATTTAAAGGCAATGATGTGATTGAAAAAATATAGCTACCTAGGGGCTGCTATTTACAGGGCGCTTATGGCAGTGGTCACCGTCTAGGTATAGTTTTTTTGCATAAAATACCGAAATGTACCTACAGAGGGGCCCAGTTTTTTCACAGTTTCAATAGGAAAGGTTAGTTTCTGAGTGAGATCCGAAAAAAAAAATCCCCCCTCACTCTGAGGCTCATATTTCATGATGTCTTCATTCGTGGATAGTTGATGTTTCTCGATTTTGAGCCATACGTATACTGTGAAAGCTTCATACCTTTTTTTTATCAAAAAATACTTGATTTCTGTATAAACTTTCTAGAAGTTTGTAATTTTTCAAGCAGAATCCCGTATCGTTTTCAGTACGTATAACCTATCTAATGGCGGTTTTCTTATAGGTAGAATTTTGACGACACTTTTGTTAACGGACCAAAATCGATAGTCTCTAGCCCTAATGAAATTATTGCTCTTCTCTTCAACCTGTTTCAGAGTGTTTAACTGCAACGCTTTGTCATTGAGTAGCAAGTAAGAAACTAATTTTTTTAGTCAAACTTTTACTATCCCTTCAATTTATTTGGAACTGTATGGTTTGTGGCTGGACCAGCATTTATCATATCAGCAAACACTTACATTGACAAATGGGTCAGAGAGTCTGTAGTATGGGCAGTATTGTTGTTTATAGCTTTTGGTGGACATCTCATGTTTTTGGTAAGTGATGTTGAAACACTTCTCACCTTCAATATTCTTATAAGACTTATTTGTTGTAGATTTTAACAATGCCTAGTGTTGCCAATAAGAATTTCCCTTATCACGTACGCACTACACAAATAGGTATAATGGAAGTAAATGGCAATGCTGGAAGCAGCACTATTGAACATTTTGGACATCATATTTACGAACCTAGCATGCGAGAGCACACTGTTATTATTCCATTGACGAGAAGAACTGAAGAAATATTTGAAGGTAATAATTCTCATGCACAATTAAACACAATTAATAAAAGAAATATGGAACAACTAGGAAACTGGTCTTACCTTACTTTTTATAGTCGCAGCAGCGTAGAAAGCTTTGAGCTGTAATAAGCGTTTCTGGTAACTTTGAACAATAGCTTGAAACTGGGGTGTAAACCATATTTCAAATTTCACATTTTGGTAAGAGTCTTCCAATTGCCTGGCCTGCCAGGTCACCCAATGTTAATCTCCTGGGACTCGGACTGCTTTTTATATGTTCCTATCCCTATCACATCCGAAAACATGAGAACAAATAAGAAATTTTTGCAGTGATATTAGAGAGATTTACTGTTGCGGTTTGCATCGTGAGATGAACTGTAACTTAAAATACACAAACGTCATAAATTTTGTTCTCTAAACAGGACACCCTATGCTTACTTTATTCTGGGATCTGACTCTCTTTACTCGAAGATACCTCAAAGTTTCTTGCCTAATCAAAAAACAATTTTAGATTACGGTTTTGAAACCTTGAAATTCAATTTATTTCCTTCATTAGAATAATTCCGTTCATTCCTGAACAAAGTCGTTTTGACGAATATCGAATATCTTTTTCTGATGGGCAAGATTCAGTTCTGACCACCAGCATATTGTTGGATAACGTCATATCGATGAAGCTCTTCGATTCTCGTGGTGGCCATTACAGAACGCCTCAATCCATCTTGAACCGTTATATTCCGTAATGTGGACCGCACATCGCTTTTAGATCTGGCCACGTCAAATTTTACCCCACGAGTTCCACTCTATCGCCCACTCCTCCTGTTTTTATTTTTATCTTCTCATTTCGGATCGGGTTTCCAAGCTCCTTCCATATACCCCGCTCAAAGATTATTTTTCCCATACTTGAACAGTTCTCCATATATTACTCCTAGGCCTGGCGCTCTTCCATTTTTCAAAGAGCTACAGTGTTTCTTAACTTTTTCCTTTATAACTTTTATTGGTGAACCTGTTCTTCCCATTCTGGTAATAATATTCTTGGTATTGTTGCCCTGATGTTTTTCAGTATTCTCTAACTTTTTATATTTCTTTTACCTTCCAAATAAGTATTGATATACGTAGAGTTTATTTCCCATGCATGACTACTCTTTATTTTTTCCCAAGATAGATTTTGACATTGTCAACTCTGAAACATAAACAATACCGCGTCAGTGGCGTAACTTCAAATCCGGGGCCCCCCGCACGGATTTTCCCGGGCCCATCAGATGTTTTGTATATATATTTTTTTTCTTACCGCGTTTCGCGACGTTTCACCCAGGGGCCTTATTCTGTAAAGAACAAACCGTTCGATTTGGTACAATTTCTTCGATTGTGACGTCATTTTCGGTTTGCTAGCGCGGAAGCTATACCGAAAATGACGTCACAATCGAAGAAATTCTACCGAATCGAACGGTTCGTTCTTTACAGAATAAGGCCCCTGGTGATAACTTCGTAACGTGTCATCCAATATAATTGAAATGTTGAAGATCTGTGTAACTTTTTGTGCCGGTTCTGCATGTGTCATCCTATTTCACCACTTTTTTTGCTCCAGTTTCGGTTAAGTGACGGCAACTTTAGAATATCAAATGTAAATGTAACTTATGCCACTTATGGTATATAATGTATGGCATTTTTCACAAAATCGGCAATGCCATATTTGTTAAGGCCTTGTTGGAGAAAATTATAGAAAATTAGAAAGTGGATTCGCATTCGATGACGCGTTACAAAATCACCTGGGTAAAACCTCGTGGGACACCCTGTATATGTATATGAACAAATGTATCATTGAATTCTAATATAAATATATAATATCTATATAAGATGCATTTACATGTGAGGTGTAGTAGAATGGAACAAAGCTTTTATTTCCAGTTTTTCAAAAACTCGTTTAAAAATAAGAAACCAAAAGACAGACATACATCAAATTTTGGGAATAAAAAAAAAGGGATCATGGGGAAATTACGAGCATATGTCTAATAAAAATAGTAGATAAATATTACAAAACGAGGAACATAAAAAACATTAATATGTATATTCAAAAACCAAAAAAAAGAAAAATATAACATATCACTTAGGTATAATAATAATAAATTTATTCAAACACAATTACAATCAACAACTGTTTTAACTAACATACACAAATAATATTACTTCTACATCTATTTAGCGGCACCTAAGTGAGCAAATCACCTGTATGTGCCATTCGTATCTACCCTACCTATTAATATAAATAAACAAAACATCACTAGCATCGTTTAAACACAAAAATAACATAGATACATCACTGAACAAGGGTAGGTATATAAAAAAAAGAAAAGCAAAGAGAAAACCAAAACCTAATAGTTATTTATGATATAAGTGTTAAAAGTACATTTTTAAGGCACGCATGTGAAAGTTTGCAGAATGAGCGAAGCGAATTCTGCAATTCACATAAGTGCCTTAAAAATACTTTTAACACAAATATCATACAATATTTTTTCTACAAACGGCAATAAAAAGCAATAACCACTAACAAATTGGATTTTTAAATGAATAATAAATTGGAATCATCTTTCCTACATAAAATTCTTGAATTTGACATTTGTCAAAAAATCCATACAACCAGCACCTTGTTTTACAGGTAACGAAATGTCTTGTCAGTTTCTTGAAAGTATGTCGTGGTCAGGAATGCTTTTTGCTAAAAATGCAACAAAATACAGAAGAAAAAGAGAGGTGCATCGATCCTTCGGAAAATATAGATGAGGCGGCCAATCGGGCTACCTCAGTTGTTCAAATTTCACCATTATTATCAATGTAAATAACTGAAAATACAAACTTTTCTTGACGTCCGCTCTCAAAATTTGATGTTTCACTTTTAACACTAGTGCTATAAAGACTTTATGGCACTAGTGCGATAAAGTAACATTTTTAATGCTTCGGGGCGGTGTTAAAAATTGCATTTTTAACACGTTTGTAGAAAAAAATCCTTTCTGCGGGCCTTGTGGTTGACAAATGCCATAACTAATTCGAATGCGTCCATATTTTTTCAATGGTAGACTAGGTATGTATTATGAGATTCATATGTTAAAGTATTTTCTTTAAGTTTAGTATATTAGTAACTTCTTGTCACCTGGTCTGGGGCCCCGCGGGGCCCTCCCTGTGACTGCGGGCCCTTAGTTACGCCACTGTACCGCGTGGCTCTGATTGGTCGCAAACTGCCGTGTCCTTGCAGGTGAGGTATCCTTTTACATGGTTGGAAAACGATACCTTCGTCGAATGCAGGTACACGGCATCTTGCGACCAATAAGCAGCATTAATGTTTCAAAGTTGTCATTGTCAAAATCTATCTTGGGGAAAAATACACTGTACGTTTATTTTTTCCCAAGATAGATTTCGACATTAGTAGATAGTCAAAGGGGATTCAAGCATAAAAATCCGACCATAACCTCAATCTTTCATTCTTGACACGTGGTGGATGCGCCGCCGTTGACACGAAGGTGGATGCATCGTCGGCGCCATCTTGTCAAACGTCATGGCGCCATCTAGCGTACATAGTGTGAAGTTCGTAATACAGGATGCTGTAGTTGGGACCCGTAGGGCTCCGCCCCCAAAAGGGGGCCCACAGGGCTGCGCCCCCCGAAAAGGGGCTCCCCGGATTTTATCATGGGTACCAGAAAAAGGGGTGGGGGGAAACGTTTTCCCGCCATCTTGTCAAACGTCACCTGTCAAACGTCACCTGTCAAACGTCATTTGTCAAACGTCACCTGTCAAACGTCATCTGTCAAACGTCATCTGTCACCTGTGATGACGTCATAGCGAGAGAGTGCGGTGAATTCTTGCAATTACAGGTTCCTGTAATATGGAGTTTGCGTGGAAGGGATTGTTCCGAGTCGTTTCGAAATCGCTACGTATAGTTAATTATGGTTCGGGGAATTACAGGTTCTTGTAATATGGAGTGTGCGTGGAAGGGATTGTTCCGAGTCGTTTCGAAATCGCTACGTATATTTAATTATGGTTCGGGGAATCACAGGTTCCTGTAATATGGAGTTTGCGTGGAAGGGATTGCTCCGAGTCGTTTCGAAATCGCTACGTATATTTAATTATGGTTCGGGTTCTGTGATGACGTCATAGCGACCTGGGTCACGTGGGTTACGTCAGTGCGGGTCCGTGGAGTCATCTAGAGTACAGAGTGCAAAGTTCGATTCAGGGTTCGGGTTCTGTGATGACGTCATAGCGACCTGGGTCACGTCCGTGGCGCCATTTAGAGTACATGTGTCAAGTTTTTTTGTGTCGCATAGCAGGATGCTGTCGGAAAAATAAAAATCAAATACAATAATTATTGAACTGTTTATTAAAACATTATAGATTATTAAAATAGATACAATTATTAGTGACCCTATTGATCAATTGATATAATATATACATAATATGAGTTAGAGAGAGATAGATTAATACATAATTTCAAATATACAATTATTAGTGACCTTATCGATTGATTAACATAATATATACATAGTACGAGTTAGAGATAGATAGATTAATACATTATTTCAAATATACAATTATTATTAGTGACCTAATTGATTAATTAACATAATATATACATAATACGAGTAAGAGAGAGAGAGAGAGAGAGAGAGATAAAATGATACATTATTCCAAATATACAAACAATTATTAATATTGACCTTATAAATTAATTGACATAATACATACATATACGCGTTAGAGAGAGAGAGAAAGAGAGAAAACATATTGATGCTCAACATTACTATACTTTTAATTCGTCACCAACATCAAGACTATAATGCCCCCAGGGAAGAGTATTGAAGGAATTGGGCACTAAGAAACGTTTATCGTCAGCTGGACTTAGTGCAATTTTTGATTGTTCAATGCTGAACACATTATGTTGAAAAGACCGAATGGTTCTCTGCGTTACGGTACTTTCTTTGAAATTTTTCAAACAATCTACATAATCGTCAAATGCAATTTTATATTTGA